GTAAATCAAACAATTAATCCAGAAAATACAAATTCATTATTAATGGAAGCTTTAGTTTGTTGCAACCCTAATTGCTTGTTGGCATTGTAAAATTCAACAATAAACACGTTAGCATTCACAGTAACGGAGCATATCTGAAAATGTTAAAATTGCTCAGTTTCCCTCAGAACCATGTGACCTCTTCAAGGCTCATTTGGGTTCCAAAATGGTAGTTTGCAGTGTCTGACAGAAAGTCTCACCTGTTTCCCATCAACTTCAATGTCTGCCACATAGTTCTCAAACACAGTGGGGACGTAGACCTCTGGGAACTGGTCCTTACTGAAGACGATGAGCAGACAGGTCTTACCACATGCACCATCACCAACTATCACCAACTTCTTCCTGATAGCAGCCATCTGTAGAAAAGCGTCCAAAACAACATTATACTTTAGATATCATAAGTCTCTTCTCTCCACTAAAAGCACAACTTCACAGAGTGGAAATGAGCAAACAGAATGAATCAGTATGTCAAACTTTCTGTGCTGCATAAGGTGTTATTACAGTGCTTGCTAGGCTTGATCAACAGTTCTCCATGGTTGGCACTTAGCACAAGTAACAGCTCAGACAACGTTAGTATCGTTAGATGATCGGTCTCTGTTTGAAGGAGTGTTTCATTAATAAGAATATCCAATTGTACATTACGACGTAAACGCAAACCACAACGGCCCGGGTGGTAAACACACGGAGGTGCCTGGGAGGTGTAAAGCAAACAGCCTAACATTTCCGTGCTATGTTTCCATTCCTGTTGAAAGGCTGTACAGTGTAGTCAAGGCCTGTCAAACCAGCCAACGTCTGCTAGCAAGAAAGCTAACGATGTTTCCCCGGCTTTGTATTACTGTCACTTAAAGAATTCCCACTTAAATTCCGACTACAACATTCATCGCACTATTGTTATACTTCAGCGACTGAAACAAGAACAAATGAAAGTTTAAAAGCCATCGGTGAATTAGGTTACCTTGATGTTTCTCTGTCCGCCTTTCTCCTCTTCCTGACCGACTAGAAAACTCCGCCCACCGCTTGTACGCATGTGCAATATGACGTCATTCGTCAGCAAGGCTGCGGCAACTTTGCTCGTGCGTGTTTACAGTCCGTGGTGTTATGTCATTTCATTGATATTCAGTTGTATTTTTTTACATACTGGAGTCTTGAATTGGGAAAGAAAGTACAACCAGTTTAATGTTTCTATGTCTGTAATATTCAATAACATAAGTAAGTTTTTAAAAAGTGTATATATATATTTTTTTTTAAAATATATATATGCACACACTTTTTTGTATGCAGTAGTATTAATGTGAAATAATCTTGTCACAACAATAATAGCCAATAATTATAAAGAAATAAACTCATCTCAGAGTTCAAATCACCAAACATTTGGTATTTTATTGACTATCAGTAATGCAATACATCCATCCATCCATTATCGATACACCGCTTAATCCTCATTAGGGAGGGGAGGGATGGAGTCTATCCCAGCTGACTTAGGGCGAAGGCAGGGGACACCCTGGACAGGTCACCAGTTCATCGCACACTTAGAGACAGACAACCAAGCACACTCACATTCACACCTATGGACAATTTAAAATAATGCAATACATTCAATAGTTTAATTTGTCCATTATGTACAAATCATTGTAATAATTTTGTGCTTCATCAGTAGACGCAAATGTAAAAAAAAAAAAAAGAAAGAAAGAAAGAAATACATACATATATGCATATGTATACAAAGAAAATGGTAAGTAATTTATAAAGAAAATATCACCTGTCTGTGTGGAGGAAGAATAAGATTAAAAGACAACATAGATTTAGCAGATGCTACAGATATAACTTAATAAATTTAAGAACATGTTCACAAAACTGTAGGGTAAAGTGTTTGTCAGAGAACTCTATAGTTCTGTCCAAAAGTTGTGTGCAAAAGTTTGCAATTCTGTAGATTTTTGAAGTTATATTTGATTAATTTTAGATTTTTATCAAGCAGTTATTGCAGCATGTGTGCAGATTTCAGTAGCCTAAAGTCAGTTCTTACTAAGCTAACACAGTTTGGAAAGGCTGTTTCCTCCCTTTCTTACTTTAGGAATTTCAACACACCCTTTTTTTGCAAATTACTTCAATCCTGTTTTGTAATTAAAGCTTATGATCTTCCCAGCAAATTTTTTTTTTACTAATGTTAAAGTCAGGGCTTTAAAACTAAACTTCCCTTCTTTTTTTCTTCTCCTTTTTTGAAGTAGTATATAGTAAAATGTAAATTTTGCTTTCGATGATTGGACTCTTGTAGAAACCAGATTGCATGACATTAGCACCCAGAATGTGCTGATATTTAGTGGAAATAAATGTTCCCTTTTTGGCAAAAGCTTCTCCTGTTTTTTTATCAAACACAGCTTTTGTGCTTATGGGCAAAGAGCTCAATGTTAACTTTATCAGTTTACAGCATTTCTGTAGTTATTGCTTTCAATACTTTAGTCATTTTGTGACGAGGTTGCAGGTGAGGTCTCCCTCCAGATGACTCTTGCATGTGGCCCCTGTTTGTGTATCAGCTTTGCAGCACAAATCCAGTGTGAGCTTAGGCTTTGTGTAGCTGATTGTGGGAGCTTTGCTTTGCTTTTCTGTCCAGTCAATGTGCAGTTTTATTTAAAAAAATAAATAAATAAATAAAAGAAAAGGCTAATAATAATATTATGTGTTTACTGCCAGGTTTGCATTTACTTCTTTTCACTTGAAAAAAAAAAAAAAAAAAGTCCCTTTGAAACCCAAACTTTTGCATACAACAGTGTGTCACAGGTCACAAAATTTTGCTTATTTTCTATGCCATCAAAGATGTATTTCTTGGTTATTTGGTTTCATATTAGCAAGCATGAATCATGATAATCTTATGTTTAGAGCTCTGCATCATGTGCAAGTGCATCACTCACTCCTGCCTGAGAATTAGGGCACAGAGACTCTTAAGGCTACAGTCTGTCTGAGCTGTCTCAGTTCACTTACTGAGATGCTTCCAAAAGCACCTCCAAAATTTAGGAGGGAGATCATCTCATCAACCCCCCATATAACGTGAACATGTCTTCTTTCTCCTCCTCCTCTGCAGAGTTTATTTGAGGGCATGCTCATTGAGATTGAGAAGTTTATAGATGTCATAGTTACAACACTGCTGCTTCTATTTGTTTCTATGGACACTGGAGGTAAAGTTGCTCTGATTGGCTGCCTGGCTCAGCCAGTCTCAGGTCTATTTCCTGACGGTGGCGGTGCTGTTGCTGCGCTGGTAGAACAGCACATAGGCTTGATTGGTCTGGAGCTGGTTCTCTGTGAGTGGAGTCACACTGTGGATAGATGGGTGGGAATCATGAGAAACAGCTCCAGGTCTATGCAAAAAGTGTCTCTCTACAGGATGACAAATGATACAGCAGCTTTTTCAAGTAGCCTGCCTGTGACATAGATTAATCAGGTCACTGCAGCGTAAAAATGAATACGTGTGCAGGGCAAGTCTCACCTGGAATCATTGTAGAAGCACCAACTATTTTCATCTAAACAGCAGGCTGTGTAATGGCCCATGTTCACCGTCCCAGCATGGTTACATATTGCATATAAATCATACAGAACTGCACCTGTGGAGACAAATACAGATAAAATTACTTATTTAATCAGGTGTCAATGTTTCCAAGTTTCTTAATTGTGGAAAATCTATCTCTTATAAACAACTGACATCATTTATCACATTCAAAAAGTTAAGAAAAATATCTAATTGAAAAATAGCACATAAGCTGTAGATAAAAAAACATTATATTTACCCTGGTTAATTCCTACTGATCTCAAAAAGTTAAAAGCTCCATTTTCATAACCTTTCTGCACATTTTATTGCTTCTGCTTGTCATCATATTCTGCACACAGTTACGAGGGTTAATGCTTGGATGGGGGAATAAATTACACGTGTAAAAGGAGAAACTAAAAAGAAAGATTCGGTTGTGTTACCACAGTCGACAGGCCCGTAGGGTCCGAGGTCCAGGTTAGTGAGTGGGAAGGACACATATACCGTGCTTTTACTGATAGACCACCTTGAGGTTGTAAAACGATTCAGATCTGATTGAGACTGTTAAGCATCATCGTCACATGTTCGTGCACATTAACATCAACTGTGATTAGGTTAGTGTGATGAGAGTTGTTGCCAAGGATACGGATCACTATAACCTGGGGAAACCTCTGGATGGACAGCCGCTTGGTGCACTCGGTACGCCTGTTACACCTCTCACACATCTGAAAAACACACCGCCACAGAAATGAACAAGTAGTATCTGTTGTACGCATCTAGTATAAAAACACACACATCTTATTAATATATGTATTCATGTTCTATTGCTTGAGGTGCTACTAATTCATCCACCACAACAAGGTACTTTTAATTCCAAAGAAGTTCTGGTCATTAAAAAAAATGAGGAATTCATGAAGCTATCATTGCTATGCTGTCCTGTTCAGGAACTTAAACATATTCACAATGAATATTTCTTTTATCTGTTTCTTTTGTTTTGTTTGCTGCTTCTGAATGTATGATTGTATTTGATTTATTTTAGTATTGATAAGACCACACTGCTTTGGCTTTTCTAACCAAATGCACTCTGATGATGGTCTTTTTTTTTATTGTATTTTATTTATTTGTTTATATTTTTATTTTAGATTGAGGAAAAGCTTTTTGGACTAAATCATTCCCTCGCACAGTTTCAGTGACATTAAACTTATCATCAAGATCGAGACAAGCATTAAAATAATCTATTGTCTTTGCACTTTTTCTGTTAACTCACTGGTGAATTCTCCTTGTCCAGTTTCTCCTCTTGAGAGAAGAGGTCCAGGCACTCCCTCAGTGTGACCTCCCCTCCAGAGCTCCTCTTGGGGATGGGCAGTGACAGATCACAGAACACGTCAAATGTGTTGGAGTAATGGGAACAGACTGAGCAATGCAACGAGCTCCGCAGCTGCCCTGAGAACAGGTCTGACAGTGGAGGAGAAAGGATTACTGGTGGTCGTCTCCATTGAACTCAGATGGCAGATGAGACCGATGGAACGCCGTGACTGGATTTCTCTCCTTACCTACTATTATGCTGTCATCCCTCTCCAAGTGCTTCTTCCACATGGCAGCTGCTTCTTCTGAAATTCTAACAGAGATAAGGAAAATAAGAGTAAAACATTTTGGTCACATGAAGGTCATCAAAGTTTCAAGGATAGAATTTTGAAACATACTCACCTAAAAATGGCATATTTTTGTTCAGACTCCTTCCCTGTTCGTCTAATGTAAGGTCTGCGATTTATTTCGGTATGCAGTTTGTCCAATAAGAACCTGAGGAACTCCTGAGCATCCTGTTGACTGAATTAAACACAGATGCAGACATTCCTTTAAATTACTGTTCCATTTTCTGCACAAGTATAAAAAATCTGTACTTGTGGCAAAGAAGGTAATTAACTGAAAGAGTTTACAGTTCCTCTCTTGCCCTTGAAGCTGCTGTGTTGACATGGAAGTGGCTATTGTGTTGCATCACTGCCACATTGCTTCACAGCATTGTCTAAAAAAACCTGTCTGCCTTTACACAAAGCAGTTTGTGTGTTTTCCTTTGCACAGAATGCGGCTTGTGCAAGTTTTATAGAAATATGCAGTTGACTTTGAGGGATAGAAAATCCATATTCTCACCTGAAACCACTGAAGTAAGGCACCGCTTCTTTGAAAATGTTGTAAAACTGTCGAGGATTTACGACCGTGTCTCCTTCATTTACATCCCAGAGGCCCGACAGCACCTGAGAGAAAGCTGTCAAGACAAGCAGCAGGAAGAAGAGGTGAAAATTAAACAAGGAAGAAGACGTATGAAGAGGTGACAACACCAGAGAGGAGAAACACACCGTCCATGAGCTTAGCCTCCTCTTTGGAGAACTTCTCATGCTTGTGGGACTTGACAAGGCAGTAGTTGCGCAGGGCACGCGTGTGAGACAAACACTGGACGACTGCGTTTAGGAAACACTAAGTGCAAAAAAAAAATGAAGGGGAAAGTGATTGCTTGGATGCAAATATTTTTCTGAAAATTCTTGAAATAAGAACTTAACTTGGCATCTTTAAACACTTACTGTGTTTCCTATGTTTCTAAGGCCAACCCTTCCACTTCCTAAGGAGAGCTGCTCTTTCTGCAAAATTAAAAGAAGACCAGAAGTTAATGACCAAAACTACAGATCTGTTCCACGTGCAACCACAGGATATACTTCTGTATGTTAGTTTGTTTACAGAGAAAAAATAAACATTTAAAAAGTGCCCACATGGATCTTATTACATATGCGTCCTACTGTTTGACCCCTGGATGTGCCCGTACTACATGTGACTGTCTGTGTGCCTTAACCCTGCCTGGTTAGTGTGTGTACAACTTTGGCAGGACAGATTTAGCCTTCTTATCTCATTAACATAACAAGAGAGGCTAAAAGGAGGTCAGCCCCATGCATTCATCCTATTAGAGACCAAGGAGTGCTGACAGGTGCTGAAACACGTGTGTGTTGATGTGGATTCCCCCCCTTAATACGATTCCTTTGTCTGTGTTTATGTTTCTGTCATGAGTGACCCAGGACTTCCCCCTCAAGAACAAACTTTCTAGGCACAAGTTAAAGACTTATCCTGTGTCGTGTTGTCCACACCTCATTGTCAGCGACCAGGAGCAGGCCCATCAGTGAAGTGTAGAGGACAGACTGGGAAATGTCAGCAGTCTCTCTCTGGAGGCCGTTCTGAGACACCAGCGTTCGACATAGGGCCTCACAGGTGCCCTCCACGTTGACGTCGCTGGCTCCAGGCATCCTGCTTCAATGGTAAACCTCTGAGGCGGCTCTCAAAAAGGATGCTGAGAGGAATATGAGGCCTTTCCAAAGAAATGCAAGCCAAGGTGCTTTGCACCTCCTAATTTTTTTCACATGCAGGGTGAAAGGTGAGCAGGACTAGGTGGTAGTGCATAAGCGAAGAGAAAGTCCTCTTTTTCAGTGAATGAAGTTCGACGGAGTACTTTCCAAGCTTTCCAGTAAAAGGACGAGGAATGACATTCACAGCTGAGGGAAAAGGAAGACGTCATTTGTGAATGAGTATCTCTTTAGGTAAATCCCTATCATGAATAGATCAAGTTGATCCACTCTGGCACACAATTCTGTCTCGTAATTACGCCACGCAAGCCAGATCGGAAAGTCAAGGTCTGACAGAGACCTCAGCGAATCAAGACATGCACATATCAATCGCAAAACAAATGGTTTTTGCAAACATTACATCATAAGTGTTCACTGATGAAGCATTACACCTGAGCTAACTTTAAAAAGGTAATTAGATAACCTATAAAACATTGCAAGCCAATCTCACAACCTGAGTGTGTTCTGAGATTATCAATGCCAAGTTACTACCGTTTTGTGCACATAAAAGGTGAACACTTGCAAACAAAGTTAGTTTGCAAATAATGCAAGACAAATAAAGTAAGCGTAACAAATGCACAGAGGGATTTGGACTCACCTGATCACTTGGTCACTCTATCTGTGGACAAACTGTCCCAAGCAAACTGTTCCCATCATCTGCTGAGCTGTTAAAAATGCATAAGGGGACGTCTACTGTTTCACTGTGTGTCTGTGGGCAAGAACTGAAAGTCTACCTCTCTCCCCTGTCCTGTCACCGGTGTCAGAGAGAGAGAGAGAGAGAGAGAGAGAGAG